TGAGCTGCTTGAGTACCAGCCTCATCAGTGAGATCAGTTAAGCCATGAGTCCCAGAGAGCCTATTATATGCCTAACACAAGCTAGGGACATTTGAGGCTTGTCAGCACTAGACTGCTTTTTTCTCCAGTATACTTCCTGCCCAGTACACTTCCTGTGTCTCTTCAACATAGTCAGGATGAAGTGGTCTAAGAAATAATCTCCACCTTCACTGGAGAAACTGGGCATTACTAAGTTAGGGATGGTGTGTAACAAAGCATCAGCCAACTCCCATGGTCCCAAATGTTTGAGAACAACAGATCAGAAGCTGTGAATTCTGTAACTGAGATGGGTGGATTGAAGTTTGAGGAAGCTTCTGAGAGTGTCTGCCAAGGTCTGAGAAGCAGAGTCCTGAGGGATTGCATAGGTGTGTCCAGCATTGGTCATGCTGTGCTGAGAAGGGGCCAGAAACAGATGAGATAACCAGAAAAGGGCCAGGGCAGAATCACATCAAGTGCAAGACAGTGGGCTCCATAAGAACTTAATTTCGATTCCTGGTTAGTATATCACCTGTCTGTCACTGGAGACTTGCTTGCTACCATAATATTGAAAAGTTTTCAGTGGAGCTTCCAGGCTAATATAAATTAGAAAGACAGACACAGTGACCTACTTTTGGAAATACTATGGATTATAACGGCCTGATCCACAACCAGTTATGGAGGTGGAGAAAGACAAGCCAGTGTTTTGTTCCATTGAGTATTGAGTCACTATGATTTGGGAGATCACATGCTTACAAAGAACATCACCACCAAGGAGAATTATTTCATTTACAGAGTCAATATAGCTTATCAGGAGACAAATGCATCCTTAACACCACCAGACGGGCCTGGCATTAAACTTAGTGTCTAGTCCCAGAGCCTGAGACTGGGATGGTTGTTCTTTATGGATGGTGCCAAACCATGGACCTTTAAAATGTAAGGATTCCATGCAGCAGAGCAGCAAATAAGGGGCAAAAGGTCCTGGGTGTGTCCTTGTCTATAGCTCCTTGCAAATAAAGGTGTGTGCCATCTGCCTGGAGAGAGTATTGAGCCTCCACGGGGCTACTTCTTCATGTTCTAAACCCAGGCCAAACTCATGTACTGGCATGAATGTGATAAGGGCTGAGATAGCATGAATGTGATAAGGGCTGAGCTACTAATGGTGAAAGTAAATAAAGTGACTGAGGTCACCCCACTAGCATGTGCAGTAGTGGGTCCAAACTTGAAATATGGGCTGAAGGCTAGTAACCTCACCCGACACATGGCTATCTCAAATCTCTGCTCAAATAC